TGTGTGCGCGTGCACAGAAGTCTAGAAGAGGCTCTCCCTTTCTCTCTGTTTCTCTCTGCATGTGCACATACATGCACACGCAGAAGTATAGAAGAAGGGGCTCTCTCTCTCTCCTCTGTGTGTGTTAGCTTTCATGTTTAAAAGATTTTTAGAGTGTGTATAGAACAAATAAGGACAGATGGACAGGGTATTACATATACAGGTCAAAACCTGTTCCTGTCCCACTGCTGACTAACTCTATGAACTTGGGCAAATTGCATTCTAAACATTTTACCTTCGCTTAGTTGACAATGTGGATATCAATACAGACAGCACTCATCTTAGGTTGGGGGACGGTTAAATGACATAGGTGCCAGTCCAGGGCTCGGTACCAAACAAGTGCTGAACCAACACAGAATGTTTGTCATTCCTCATCTTCAGTCTGTCCTGCTCCTGGGGATGTCTGCAGTCTCCCTGGGTACGGTATAGTTTTGTGCCATGGAGAAGTGTAGCTATCCAGGCCATTTTTACCTTGACTAGGAACGGATATGCTTTGTCCAAGCTATGGGGTTGGGTTCCAGGAGCCACTGAGGAAGCTGCCACGGGAAGCTAAGTAGGGAGCAGGAGGCAAGACTCTGTTTTCAAGTTCTGACATGTGCCAGGGAAGTCTGGTCTGCTGGGCTAGGGAAGGACGGGGTAGAGGTCAAAGGCAAGAGAAGACAGCAGCCATGGAAACAATATGTCCTTTTAGGCTGTGGCCCAGAGGCCCAACACTTATCCTAGGGAGGTGTCTTCTCCCTTCTCTGACTCACTGCCTTTGCTGAAGAACAAGCACTCATTTCCTCCTGAAAAGATCGTTTAAGAGAGAGGACGTGTGTGGGAGAGCCAAGGCTGACGGGGACTGTGTGTCCCTCCCTTGCCTCCTTGGGGGAGGCAGCCAGGGGACTTAGACTAGAGCCAAGCGTACAATGAACAGAACCGCCCAGATCAGGCTGCCGATACCAGTCCTGGGCCAAGGCTAGCCCAGCTCCCATCCCACAACTTCCTCCTCTGCGCCAATCAATACAAGCACCAGTCTCCAACCAGCTCCTTTCTCTTGCCACAGCCCTGCCCTCTGACCTTTTGGGGGCCTTTTCCTTGATTCAGCTCCAGAATGGAGGTAGAGGCCATCACTCCGGCTCCGCTCAATGGCCCCAGAATAGGTTGTCACGGGGCCCTATAACCAGGGACAGCTCCTGCTGGCCAGAGCTGGAATGGGGAGGGTGACGGATAAAGGCCTTCCAGTCTAAAGATAAATGGCTGCCTGCAGCCTGCTACAGTAACTTTAGGCCCCCAAGAAGAAGAGACAAAGGTTGCCCCTGTGACACTCACTGGAAAGATGAAGGCCCGGCAGCAGCAGCCAGGCTGGTTCAAAGCCCCAGCTTAATTGTCGATTAAGCATGCATAAGGGAGACAAAGCCATGGCAACCCCTGGCTGCATGCTGGTGTGTGATTGTAAAGGCAGAGAGGGGCAAGGCTGAAAACAGCTGATTCTGCTGACTGTGTTTGTCGGGAACCTTGTAACCAACCGGCCGCTGACAGAGGCAAAGTGCTCCTCCTGCCGTCCCTATTGTCCCTATTGGGACATTCCAGGACCAGGGTCACACTGTGGTCATCGTGGGCAAGTGGGGCACATGCTATATATAAGCATGGCTGGGAGGGAAGGGGCTTGCATAGGAAAGAAGAAGAGGATTCTGGGAGGTTCCTCTCCTTGGTGCTGCCAGACCTCCTGGCTCAGGTGCTGGGGTTCAGAGAAGAGACCGTGCAGAGCAGGGGGCTTAGATGTTGATGTCTTGTCCCTCCCCAGCTCAGCTTTGGAGACTGCCAGTGTTAGGAGCTGGGGAGATGGCTCAGAGGGTAAAAGTGCTTGCTAAGCAAGCAAAAGGACCAGAGTTGTTCAGAGCTCCAGCACTCATGGAAATGCTGGGCAGGCACTGGGTTTGTCTATCATTCTGCATATTGGGAGATGGATATAAGGGTTCCTCAGAGGAAGAAAGCTGCCTAGAGTAAATCTAGCATAATCTCACAAGTAAATGTAGTGAACTCTGTGTTCAAACAAGAGACCCTGCCTTAATGCATAAGGTAGAGAGCCCTCAAGACAGACACTGGGCAGCAACCTCCTACTTCTCTCTTAGCCTCCTTTGCACTGCATCTCCAGTGGCTTACAGATTCCTAACTCCATGGCTTAGAGCACACACACACACATAGTGTGTGTGCTCATACATGAGTGTGCATACACACGTGCATGCACACACCATACACATACATGCCCATGGAGAGCAAGAGAAAGTGAACAATATAGAGATAGATAGATGATAGATTGATAGATGATATAGACAGATAGACAGATGATATATGAATGATGGATGGGTAGATAGAGAGATAGATAGACTGATGATAAATAGACAGATAGATAACCAGTGCTGATAGTGGGTGTTGGCTCCAAGTTTTAGGTTCCAAGTGAGCTATGTTTACTATGGAAAGGGTACAGCAAGGCTTCACAGTCCAAATATGAGCACTGCTGTCTCACCAGCCCTGGGGAAAATCCTAAGAGCCATCTTGAGAGCCTCAGAAGGGCATCTAGGGTTCTAATTCCAGCGTTGCAGAGAGCAGTGGTCATTTCTCTGCAAGTCCCAGGAGAGAACGTGTCTGACTGCTTCTTAGGATTAATGTCCATGTATGAAATTAAGAAGAAAACGGGCTCCTTTTGCCTGCCCTTACTGCCACTGCCTCTTTTATACCGAGGTGACAGGAGCGATCTCTCTGTGGTTTGCTGGGAAAGGTGGTTATTTACAGGTTCACCCATTTAATCCTCGCATGCATCCAGCACCCATGTGACACACAGGAAATTCAGAGCTCATGGGAATTACTCACATGCCTCACCTGCCAACTTAGAACCAGTTCAAAATGACACCCAGAGAGTCTAGATCCTGGGTGGTCAAGGACTACCCTGATGTACCATGAGGGAAAATGAAGGCCTAAATAGCCACTGAAAATACCCAGTGTCCTGTAAGGACCCAACCCCCATAACAGCTATAGGATCTTTCTCTCCCTAGAAAAGCCCATGTTGCCCCCAGAGATAATCTTGAATCCAAGCTGATACTGGAGGCTCCATATTGGTGAGAGGTCCTCCCTACAGGGTATAAATTCTGAGGCTGCAGGGCCCTGTGTCCCCGCATCTTCCTTTTCCTCCCTATTTAAACATACTGGCTAGGCATGGAATCCATCACGGAACTATGGCCCCAATTTATACTGTCAGGACCTGGTTAGCACTTAATGCATATTTATGTTGCAAGAATCAACAGATTCCACGTCTATCACCATCGTATGAGTTTAGACAAATTATCTCTTTCCGGGCCTCAATTTCTTTCTTTGAAGTCCTTCTGGGTTCTATCCTTCTCATAATATTCATTAAGGTCTGGAATTTGGGGCAACCCAAGAGACTCCATTTTCAGTGGCCCATACCCTTCTCAGATGCCCATTTGAGGCTGTCTCCTGCCTTTGTCCCCACCTCTGCACTGCTTCTAATACCTGGTCCAGCTGTCCTAGCTCTCCAGCCAGCATACAGAGGGAGCCTAAGCTAGCGACCCTGTGGTGACCTCAGCACAACCCCAGCTTGTCAGAAAGCTGCTGAGCCTTTGTTTGGCTTGCCGGCTCCCTGACTTTGGTGTGGAGATCACAGGTCCCAGCACAATGGCCATTGTCTTCTCAACAATGATCCTTGCCCCAACCACGCCCCACACAGCTTCCAAATTTAGCTCCATGGATCACCATGGTGGGCAAAAGCTCCAGCCTTGCTCAGTATCGGCCCTAAGCCATCCACCACCTATCAGCCAAACTATGCTTTGTATTGATGTAAGGGGGTTAAGTGACTCCGTGGTCAAGCCAAAACTTGCTCCCCTCCCTGCCCTCAGCTTTTTTGCCTCTCTTGAACAGGCCAACTTTCTTTTGGGGTATCTGAGCCCTTCCTGGTGCTCAGAGCAGGGCCTAGAGAAACTCCAGCCTAGTCTTATGCTGGTCAATTTCAGGTCTCAGGCTGTATCTCCTGTAAGTGGTAGGCTTGGAACAAGTGTCTGCAAATCACCCAGCTGGTAACTCAGACCCTGTCCCGACGATTTGAATTACCCCACATATGGGTCAGCTCCCAGCTCTTAGCAGGTGCGGGGAGGAAGGGACTTGAGAGGACAGCAGATTGGGAAAATGGCTGGCTTTCCTTTCTCAAGCCTTCCCCCAGATCAGGGGAAAGCAGTGCTGTTTGGTATACATGGGTACCAAACAACCATCTATAAGCACCTCCTCATTTCTGGTAAACTTTCTTAAGAGAAATAAAGCCCAGAAGAAGAAGAAGACACGGCTGGTATAGTGCTTGGCATATAGGGGTCTCTTTCCACACGAGGATATAGGTTTGTGTTTTGACACATTCAAACCCCATGGCAGAGCCATTCTGATCCAGGCCGACATGGTACAAACTCTTTAGCCAGCTCATCACCGAAGATCTCAAGGGATGGACCCCATCTTAATCCTGGCTCAGCACAGCAGAGGCTGCCACCCAAGTGGCCTTTCCCTAATAGCCACTTGACTTCTGTTGAAACCAGAGAGTGCCAGATAGGATATAGCTCAGCATGGCAGAGGGTGGCCAGAATGCCATTCTCCATCATCTTGACCAGTGATACAACACTACCATCTCCCTGCAGCTCGGACCTGGCACCCCCAAAAGGCAGCCTTCTCTGGGGACAATCTGTGTGGCTGAGTCAGCAGCCACCCAGGGAGAATGAAGACAGAGAAGAAAAGGGCAAAGGGCTTATTGAGGGCCAAGTGGCTGAGCAAGAAGTGGGAGGAAACCTGACCAAAGGCACGTACTCATGAGAATGTTCTAGCAATGGGAGGAAAGCAGGTCTGTGGTCATCTCAGAGTATACGCCCCTCCGGCTAGGACAGCAACAGTCAGTTCCGAGACAGTGAGAAGCACAGGTCTCTACTCACCTGACAGCTTGTTGGGAGGAGAGGAGCTGGGCTGGTGGTGAGGGGAGCCGTGGGTGAGCAGGGGGTTCAGGTTGTGCGTCTGGTTGGAGCTATAGGCGTCCATGGCCAGCTTCTGCCGGAATGCTTCTTCCTTCCGGCGGTTTGCAAACCAGTTGTAGACACGGACCTCTGTGACCAAATTGGAGCCTAGGCCGTGGGCTTTGGACGGGGAGACCCCTCGTTGCAAACATTCTGCCCTGCAAAGAACGAGGGCGGGGGATGGTGAGTGAGGGTGGCTGGAGTAATTGCATGTGCTGGGTGGGCCCCAAATACACAGTCACAGTGGAGGCTGAAGGTCAGTGGGGGCTAGTGGCCTGTCCCAAGAAAGGCCATCCTCACAGTATCTGAGAGGGAAGCTTTAGAGCGGGTCTTGGGTAAGCTATGCTACCTAGAAGGCCAAGCATAGGCCCCTATGTGGTTCCGATTATGTGAGGGCAAGCCAAGGATCAGCAATTTCAACAGATGGTCTGGTGATCAGCCTCCCGACACCTTCCTTACTGCCTCAGTAAGGCTGATTCTGAGTCTCTCCCAGGCACTGTGAGAAGCATCTAGGCTTTGGGGGTTTGGATACTCCCCCAAAGGGTGCAGGGAATCCAGATTCCACATCCATGCTCTGGGGCAAAGAGAAGTGGAGAGGGGCGGGGTCATTAAGGAGGTAGCCAGAGAAGGCAGGTCTCTGCTTATGAGCATGAACGAAACCCCCAGCCCACTGTGGGCTATGCTCTTGGACACCACTCAGTGGAAGACCTTGTGTCAAACCCAGGCTGCTTCCCCACTCGGCTTCCCTGGCTCTGTGTTTTTACTGCCAAGGCTGCTTGGCTCAGAGGCATAGCCAAAGACCCCCAGGCCTCTGCCAGAGCAAGGAGCAAATGTTGTAGAGAGTCAAAATGGGAATGAAAGAGAATAGAGAAAAGAGGAAGCCAAAAGTGTTCGAGGATTTTCAGTTTGCTTTTAAAAACTGATACACAGTTAAGACACAGAAAGGAGTCTGTTCAGTCAGTGTAGACAGAACCAACCAAAGAGATCCAACTAATTCTTTCTCTCCCGCTAAATTTCCTTAACTGGTTGCTTGAGACAGGGTCTCACTTGAAGTTCAGAGGGGCCTCAGACTCTCCAACCTCCTCCCTTAGCCTCCTGAGTGCTGGGATTCCAGGTGTGGGCCATTTTTTGCCAACCATTCTCGTAAAACGGTGCCAGGCCCTGGGTTTTTTCCCGTCGCATGGGGCTACAGTTAGTGGAGGCCAGAGCTAAGGGACAGTTTGGTGTTGCCTGTATGGAGTGGAAACTCATCTCTCTAGCAGAGTTTTTGGAATATTTGCCCTAAGAAAATCACTTGTGGGAATAATAATTTAGTATTTCACAGAAGTGAGACTTCATGATTGACAAGCAACAATGCTGTGCAGGCTCCGTAAATGCAGGGCATCTTGGATCTTTGTTTCTTTTTTAAATATTCATTGTGCATGGGTAGGGGGAGGTTTAGGGACAATTTGTAAGATTTGGTTCTCTCTCCGCCATGTGGATTCATTAAACTCAGGCAGTCAGGTTTGGCAGCAAATGCCTTAACCCTCGGAGCCATCTTGCCAATCCTCCTCAGAGATTTTTTCGGGGAGGGGCGGTTCAAGACAGGGTTTCTCTGTAGCTTTGGAGTCTGTCCTGGAATTAGCTCTTGTAGTGCTGGGCTCCTCAGAGCTTGTAATATAGTAAAATAAGCTGTGGCTCCTGAAGAAGTACTCCTGTGATGTGTCTCAGACCTGTTTACTAATAAACTGAATTTGGGATTCTGTAGAACACACTTGGGGGGACCCTGATTTAGCCACACTTAGCTGGATAACCAGTGTCTCAAGGGTTATCACAGGACCAAGGGAGATGAACCTTCCCAATTGCTCAAGAGGGCACCTGGTATTACCTGTTACATTCCTCCACTAAGGCCTCCCTCTCCTCCTTGCTGGGATTCTTTTGCCGGTCGTAGGCCTGGTACAAAATTTGCTGGGATGCGGGCCCCCATTTGAACCGGTTACGGCGCATCTTCTTGTTGGCGGGCTCAGAGCAGGCATCCTCGGACTGCCCAGGCCCCTGGTTCTGTTGACTGAACTCTGGAAAGAGAAACAGCAGCTGATCCTGACTGCTTTTGTCTGTCATATTTCCAGAGCTCTGGACTGTCTGGTTGAACTCTGAAAAGAGAAAGGAGTAGATTTGATAGAGCCTGTAGCCTTCACTCCACAGACAGGTAGACAGACAGACAGACAGACACAGACACGGATGGACCAATGGACCCTTGATTCCTCTCCCTTAAGCTTCACAATCTGCTCTAATTTCATGTGGGGATAGAAAGGGGTCGCCTTGTGGCAGGCTCCTCTCGCACATCCTGTGTCCCCAGCAAAGTCACCCTTTCCTTTCTTGGACAGAGCTTAGATACAGCCAAGTCAGTGTTTTGAGAAAATTAATTATTTTCCTTTGACTCATTGACCTTCTGACATTAAGACACTCTGAGTCCTGAATGCTTGTATTTTTATTTTTATTGGTTGTATCCCTGACTGTCCCAGTACTTACTCTGTAGACCAGGCTAACCTCGAATTCAGAGATCTGCCTGCCTCTGCTTCCCAAGTGCTGGGATTGAAAGTGTGTATAACCACTGCCTGGCTCTGAATGCTTGTGTTTTGATGTCAAGGGGATAAGCCCAATCAAGTCTCAGCCCAGGGGAAATTGTTCAAAGGTGTAATTTACACTTGCCTACCATGTTTAGAGGCAATGTGTAGCCCTCCTGCCCTTTACCCTTCCTCTCTCCTGGGCACCTGAATTCCAACGTTAGGCTCCTCTCTCCTGGGCACCTGCATTCCAACGTTAGGTTCTTTGAAAAACATGAAATCTCAAACTCTTAAAAATCATGCTTTGAAATAAAGATGGAGCTTTGTATTTGCAAGAGAAGATGTTCCTTAGATTTCTAGTATGTTTGCAAAGACAATAGTGTGTGCGTATGTGTTTTGTGAGGTGTATATTCTGTGTGTGTGTGTGTGCGTGTGTGTGTGGTATGCATGTGATATGTGTGTCATGTATGTGTGTGTCCTAGGGAACCTTTAATGAGGGAGATGGCTCGAGATCAGCCCACATAATTTGAAGGATGAAAGTGCAGAGTCCGGAACAGAGGAGCTTTGTACGGATGATGCTGACGGGGCTGGAGAAGGGTGAAGGAAACGCCTAGCTGCTACTTCCCAGGCCCCGGCAGAGCAACCTTCAATCCCTCTTCACAGAATGAATGAGCAGTGGAGGACATCCTGGCCTATATAGTTGTAATGAGCTTTGATATCCACTTTATTAAGAAGGGAACTACGTTGTCTTCTATCTCCTATCTGCATGGAGCAGGGTTCTCAGAGGCGCTGGATATATAACAAAATCATTTCCCAGACCCTGCGTGCTGTTTACATCTGGAGGTCATTGTCCTCATTTATTGCACTTAGTCTATTGTCTTAGTCTTTAAGTTATATAGGTATTAAGAATTACAGATCAATAGTCATCTACGTTTGTCATACTTATAGTTAGACTAATCAGGTTCTTTAGATGCATAGAGATTATATTCTGCATAGATAGATAATCTTCAACCACTTCAAAGAGCTGTAGAAAATGGCATTTAAATAACTTAGGGTTCTGTTGAAGTGAGACACAATTGCTCCTGGCAGCACCGATCTATTCCAGAGAGAATGTTGAACACTGAAGACACTCCACTTGGAGCTTATTTTCTTCTTGGCAAAAACTGGCCTTTGGGCAAAGAAATGGCCATGCCTCAACCACTGACAAGATATATAGTATCCGGAAATGGATAAGCAGGACTGTCAAATCTTGCCAAGACAGGTAAGACGATTTTGAAAGATTTCTTGCCTTTGAAAATGGTCTGTCGGTTATTCTAGGCCTTAGCCAAAGTTGGTTGCTTCAGCGTTGCAAATGAGACTTTGGGTGATTGCCCAGGTAGCCAGTTGTCTCTGTTATTTGTTGCAGGTTTTGGAAGTTGCTTGATTGTACTTCCTGCTTACTCAAGTAATATTATTTCCCTTCTCGGATCTTCAATGAGGTTGAAGACTAGATAATTGTAGTTACTTTCCTTTCATGGCTTGGGCAAGTTCTTTATTATACAAGACTTAAGCTAGTTAGAATAGGATATCTGTTTTTATTGTATATAATTTTGTATTAGGCTTAGTATTCTCTTATTTAAAGGGGGAGATGCTGTAGGAAGACCTGCAGCTTGTAATTACCCACCTACTGGGGCGTGGCCTCTTATATTATATAGCAGATGCAGAACCTGCGTCCCTCCCTTTTTCTCCTTCTCCTTGCTCCTTTTCACTGATTGCTTGTTCGAATTGGATCTCCAACCACCATTCAAGCAGAGAATCCTGATTTGTGAGTTTACCCCTAAATAAATAACTATCTGTCTCTTAGTTCTGAGCTAGTGTGGGATTTCTTTTAAGCATCCGTTCACCACTTCACTTGGCCGGTTCACCGTGACACTTGCACCCCATGCTCTGGACCTGGGTGTTTCCTTTCTCAGTTCCCAGAGTCACTCATAATTCTGAGTGTCCAGCCACAACCTCCAGAGCTTCTGGGTGTGCCATAATCTCAGGAAAAGGGATCACAGATCTGTGCTACTTACTATACTACTTTAAACCCTCCACAAACCTCACTAGTGTCTCCAGTCTGTATACCTGGGATTTAATGACCTGTTGTGGCTATCCTTCTATTTTGGCCCCTTTCAAGTAAGTGATGGGCTTCTTCCCAGCCTGAACTTAGGATCCCTGCTGTAGGTGGGGATGCGTTTGTTTAGCCAATGGCCAATTCGGAAGCAGCCTCCTAGGTGAATGGATGGCCTTTGTCACTGGAGACTTTGATTTGAGATGGTCCTTGAGTCACCTTTAGGGCTCTGTTTGCACTGATGCCCACTGTGGTTTTTTTTTTCTTTTTTTTCTTTTTTTTTTTTTTTTTTTTTTTTTTTTTTTTTTTTTTTTTTTTTTTTTTTTTTTTTTTTTTTTTTTTTTTGGCTTTTCAAGACAGGGTTTCTCTCTGTAGCTTTGGAGCCTGTCCTGGAACTAGTTCTTGTAGACCAGGTTGGCCTTGAACTCACAGAGATCCTCCTGCCTCTGCCTCCCTAGTGCTGGGATTAAAGGCGTGTGTGTGCCACCACCGCCAGGCACCCACTGTGTTTTTAGAAACCAGAAGCAGCCTCTGCTAAATGTAAAAGTAGAATGTTATCAGCTTCCCTGGGATGATGTGGGAGAAAGGTAACTCCTCCCACAGCCAGATGTTTACAGGTGTTTTCAGTCCATCACTTTGTCTTCACGCAGCTCTCTATGTGTTGTCACTTGAGAGTGAAGGTGGACACAGAAGTCCCCCGTGAAGCCCGGGAGGGGACCAGTTAATGTCTCCCCTGCTCCCCATGGGCCCCACACCACATCTGTAGAGTCCCCTGTGAGGAATGGCCAAGGCCAGTGAGGAAACCCCAAGTGTCTGGGAATCACTTGAGATTTTTTTTCATCCGAAATGAACAGATGTCACTACAGTTCACAGGAAGTGGGCCGTCTCTGCGGTTCAACACCCCGTACGTATAACCCTTCCCCTAATTCTCATAGCCTTGCTATGGGGGGGGGAGTGTCATTATTTCCAACAGCAGATAAAAAAACTCAAGTTCAGAGTGGTTAAGTCACATGAGCCTAGGGTGCTCTCCTGTTCCTAGCCACTAGCTTGTGAGTCACCCAAACAGTAATACCCCCGAGCTCCCCAGATCTCACTTAGGTGGAGGAGGCTTTTGCTGCATGCAGCCCCCAGTACGAGGCTGCTCTTTTGGAATACAGCAGCTTACACAGGGTCTGAACCCAGAGCATCTGTGAGCCAGTTAGGGCCTCCAGGCCTCAGGGACCTGGCCACACTCAGCATTTGAAGAGCTAGACCCTCGCAGGCACCCCCAGCTACCATCAATGCCCCTCTGCTTCTTTTCAAACGAAACGGAATAGAAACGCTTGATGCCTATTAAAACGACACTGGAACGGTTGCTCCGGTAGACTCATCCTAGACTGGGGAGCTCGTCCAGAAGGTTCTCCACGTATAGAGAAAGCCCGTGAACAGCACCGTCTATTCGTCTGGCTCTTCATGAAACTTTCATGCATCGTCTTAGTTCCATCTCCTCTTTCTCTTTCCACTCAGTCCATTCAGTTGGTCTTTCTTTTATTTATCTCTTCAATTTTTGACCCATGCTGGTGTGTCTTTTTAATCCTTTAAGGCGTGATACAAATGCTGCCTCCTTCAGTAAGCCCTCTGGGATTTCTCCAGGTGATCTTGCAGCCACTCTGCAGCCCAGTGCACGCCGTTTAAAGAGCACTTGGAGAGGAGCCGCCACTAATAGCTCAAGCTTCTCAACTCCTTCAGGGAAGTAATGAGTCCCTGGAGACAAGGACCTGTATACCCTAGAGCCTAGCATAGTGCTCAGGACATGACAAGGTGTGTGTGTGATAATTGAGGAATAAGCCCTTAAGTCCTGTCTCCTGTAACTTTAAACCCCAAAACAACAATAACCCGGAATAAAAATGTCCCTTGCTGGCAGCCATCCCCTTGGTCAATGTCCTCTTCTTGAGCATCCCGAGACTCTTCCTGGAATTTCCGTCTTGTTAGACGGTCCAGTGTCTTCTATGTCACCCTGTCTATCTTGGGGGAGATTAGTGAATACCATCCTGACCGCTGAGCTAGTACCAGGGCTGTGTGGCCTTTGGCGACTATGGCTCCTGTCTTCTATGTCACCCTGTCTATCTTGGGGGAGATTAGTGAATACCATCCTGACCGCTGAGCTAGTACCAGGGCTGTGTGGCCTTTGGTGACTATGGCTCCTGAGAACAGGGCCATGCAGGAACTGAAGAGCTGCTTCATGTCAGGAGGTCAATCCCTTAGATAGCACCCATGCAGAGAGGGGTCGACCTGCACGTTAAAGGACTGGGTCCTCTGTGCAGCAGGCAGCATCACAGCTGCCTCTACTCTGTCCATACAACGTTAACCTCAGTCGGAGAGGAGACAAGGGCCCCCCAAACCTCTTCTCCCACCCATGGCCCTTCTGCCCACAGATACTAGCACAATAAACACAGACGTGATCATTTTGGAGCAGTTTGTAGAAAAAAAAACAACAACAACAAATCCAAGAGCAATTTGAAAAGCAACTGTGCAGCAACAGGGGAAAAAATTCCTACCCAGAAAATGATGGTGAGGAACATGTTGGCAAAGACACAGAGGCTCATAGCCCGGGAGAGGAGGCGGGGCATAGCCGGGGAGGGGGGGGG